GACAACCCCTCTATCGCCCCCGATAGAAAATCCGGCACCAAGGTCTCAGCAGTTCGTAAAAAAATTCCAGCAGTCTCAGCAAAAAGCCGCCAATGCCATCCTAAAAGCCAACCAGAGGGCTAGGCAACAAGCTGACCGACAACGCCGAGACTTAACACTTGCCCCTGGGCAATTGGTCCTGCTCGACACCAGAAATTTGGGAATTCCTCTCCCAAATAAATTACGACCAAGATTTTGCGGCCCATTCCGCATCATCCGCATGGTGACACCAGTCACCTCCCAGCTGCAACTACTGACCGACTGGCGAATCCATGATTCGTTCCACATTAGTCTCCTGCGACCGTTTGTCCCGAGTACGACTAATCTCGACCGTCAACACATCAATCCTACGGTCAACCCAGTACCCGAGCCAACGATCGAGCCGTCAAAGATTCTCGCTCATTGCGTACGAGGACATCGAGATACAGCAGCCGTTGATTTCCTTGTATGATGGGTCGATCGCACAATTGACGATGACCTTTGGGTCCCCGCAGCTATGCTCGGCAAACACAAAGTCGCCCGGGACTATTTACACCGAAGATGTGTCCCAGATGTGGGTAGTCTCATCCCAGAAGGGGGGGGGGTTTAAGGAAATTTCCTTTTCCTTACTATGCTCGACTACATCGCATATCCCCTCGACTCTCGGAAGTCCAGGCTCGGCCAACTTCTTCGGTCCTGAACCATGTCGTGAACCCAAACCTAGACGCACAGCACTTCCGTGGCTTTCGCCGCCCGGACCGCCCCAACCTGTTCGCGTGGTTCTCAGCTAGCTCTGTTCGTGCCTATAAATACCTAGGCCCTTATTGGTATTGACACTTTTGAATCACGACTCCTTAATTACACTATCTGTTATTACTCTTATTAATTCATAACACTCAGGTAAAAGGTATGGCCTTTAGGGTGCAGAAATCGAACAATTTTTGGGGGATTTGTCGTAGTGGAAATTGTCCGACAAAAGCCCCAACAGTATCTGACAAATATCATGGCTGTTCATAATCCTCACTATAGGTGCGTGATTGATTGGACTTACAAATGTTGCACTACAGTGAAACGTTACATTCCAAATCACACCATGAAATATAAATTCAAAACAGTGCAAGGACCAGAAATTTATCTACACTAACAAATCCCAAAATTTGGGGAGAATATCACCTAGTGCAACTAATTTACGCCTCAATTTGCACTCCAAAGCTGCGTCTTTGATGGCCGTGCGTTAGATATTAGGGAAAGCAAATGTCATAGCAGTGATAAGCCAAACAAATGCTAGAGAAAAAAACTAAACCTTCGTATGAATAGGCCTCGTTCCTGCAAAGCAATGGGACTCTGGACCGTGGGCAGTGATGAATGGCTCTCATCCGTTACAAAGATAGTGGAAATACGAACCCATGAAAAAATGGGGCTGGCGGCGGTTGAAATATAAGCGTAGATGCGCATTCGATAGTATGTTGAGAACCTCGACGGAGGACAGGAGGTAAGAGTGCTAGCTTAGAGCCAATCCAATAGTGCGAGAGCTGAGTAGCATAGCATGACGGAAAACAATCTCGGGGATTACAGCGTCGTAAAAAAAAAGGACGAGGCACCAACAATAAATGCAAAGCCTTGCCTTGACAAATGCAGCAGCGCGATGGTGGAAATACAGTGGCGGAAACAATTGTCCGTATGTTTTGCATAAATTAGGGGTTTTGGGCTTTAAGACCACTATACATTAAGCCTTAATGTTTAATGGTCGTACAATTTGGGAGGGGCACATACTGGATGTGTTCATAGCATAAATATCCAGAATAGTACATTGGATCTAACTCATATCCCAAAAGATATACAAAGGGTACATCCGGACAAATAGTTCCAAGCAGGGATGGCAAACTTCAAAAGTGTGCTTCTAGTTCCTAGCCCACCGACCTTTGGCCTTGATCACCGCCCGCACCCTCCTAGGCGAGCTGTCGATGAGCCTAGAGCAAACCTCGGCATGGATCTTCTCCCATTCTTCTTGAACCAACTCTTAAAGCTCTAGCATTCCAGAGGAAGGCCTTTTCTGCTTGGCCAGCTCCCTTTTCAGGTAAGCCCAGAGGTTGAGGTTTGGTGAGAAAGAAGGCCACTCCAAGGCTACATACTCATGTTCTCCAAGTCATTCATGCACTAGGCATATCAAATTCTTGGGGTCATTGTCCGCACCGAGATGACCTCAGAGGGGAAAATGCTATAGAAATGGAGGTTCAATTCGAGTTCATCATGCAAAATGCCCTCATACAGGGCCTCTCCATGTGTCCGTCAATCTTGCGTAGAACCCCACCCCCCCACATGTCACACATCCCCACACCATCACCGATCCTTGTCCCCATAGTTTACCGTCTGTTTGATTTGGTGGTGTTGCAGGGTTGTGCCTTCACGAATCCAGTGGAGCTGAAGCAGTTAATGTTGGTCCCATTTGACCATATCACATGCTTTCGAACACTAATTGTCCACTCAGCATGCGACTCCACAAATTGCAGCTGGCCCCTGATTATTTTTCAGAACAGTCTTGGCTTCTATGACTGGTGCACCATGACGAGACCCGCAGACCCTAGTGTTTTTTTTTAAATGCAAGGGTGCACACTCAACCGTGCATCGTTACCCTCAGCTTCGTGGTGTCTACGCTAGATTTGGCCGCTCTATTCGTGATTTTACCCTACAATGGTACGATGAAGACGATCCGTGATAAGATGTGCCCGACCGGCTGATTGCATCTTTGGCCACAACTCAGCATGGCTAGTCTCAAATATACCATACAATCCAAACTCGTGCACAATACTCTAGCCTACGCCCAACTTTTTCGCGATTTTCCTAGTGCTCACACCCTTATGTTAAATGGTGGGTCCACGAAGAGTGCAAGAAGTTCCCTGCCGAGGTTTGTACTAACCTCGTAGGTAACATGCCTAGGAGGGTGCGGGTGGTGATCAAGGCCAAAGGTCGGTGGGCTATGTACCAAATACGCAATTCTGAAGTTTGCTCTCTCTGCTTGGAAATATTTGTCCGGATGTATCCTTTATATGTCTTTTGGGATATGAGTTAGATCCAATGTACTATTCTGGATATTTGTGCTATGAACACATCCAGTATATGCCCCTCCCAAATCGTACGACCATTAAACATTAAGACTTAATTTATAGTGGTCTGAAAGCCTAAAACCCCAAATTTATGCAAAACATACAGACAATTGTTTCCGCCACTGTAGGCAACCACGCGATATGGGCCTGCGCATTTCAAAGAAGGTAAACAAACAGAAACGATCAGCTACGACAAGCTAGAGAGGCATGCGATGCAATGCGGTGGCAATGCGCTTTAGAAAGAGAAAGCGTGAAAATGGCGGTGGGCTGGAAATGGAGGTAAAGGCGGTAATGGCGGTAATGGCGGTAAGGGCGGTGCAAGCTAAGCTAAGATCTGAAATGTCGAAGTGCAAATGAGAAATGACAGTGGGGCAAGGGGGACGAAGGAGAATATGGAGAGGGAGGCACGGGGCTGGTTGGGTTTGGGAGGTCTAGGTTTGGACAAATGACGTGGCAGCTTGTAAGAAGTCTGGGTTTTGGTGTGAGGTGTGGATAAGCTTAGTTGGAGGCTTGGGAACACCAGCATGTTCCATAGCTGGGCAAAATCATTGCCATTCGTAAATGAAAAGTTACATAAACTGACACAAAATTTCGGACCCTTAGATCATTGACGAGCAGATCCGATGGCACAAAGCTAGAAATGTACGATCAATGATAAGCTGAAATTTGACGAGAAAATTGGATTGTCAGCCGTCCGATCGGCCGAAGCCAGCCCCCCGCACCTCTCCCTAGGCAAATGTGTCCCGAAAGTGGCCCAACCTCCTGGGAGGTTGGTTTGGTTTGGGACAGGTGGCGGCCACTTTTCGGAGGCTGGTTTGGAGCATGGGAATTTGGAGTGAATGGGGATTGCTTCCGGGCAGGGTTCGGACACTTTTCGGACCGCATACTTTCAGAACACATTTGGGACGTTCACTTTTTGGTGACGTAGTACCAGCTGCAATATATTTCTGAATACTCCAATTTCTCGATGCCTTGGCCTCTTTTCTCTGCTATCATGGCTCGTGCTGCTGTAGCGTTCTCATTTGTGGCATTCGTCATTGCAGCGCTGCTCGTCTCATGCGCCGAGGCTAGACTAATCTCCATCGGGCTGCTCAGCAATCGCGTCCCAAATCGACCAGCAAGCGTCGCCGTCAAACTCAACATCTTTCTCAGCCTCAACAACAGTGTCTCTGACCTAAAATCCGTGTTGCAGGCGCAAGTCTCTTCGCTAGAAGGCGCGCTGACGAAATCCCTCGACAAGCTCGCAACCGCGCTGAAAGACAAAGCATCGGTGGTGGCATCCGCGCTTCAGGCACAAATTTCCGCCCTCCAGAGCAGCATCACCGCGTTAAAGGAATGTATTGCATGCATTGATATCATCACATCCATTACGTTCACAACGTCCGGCGCTTCTCAGGTCACACAGGCGGCTCTTTTCGCACTCCAATCGCGTATCGCGTCATTGAAAGCCAGCATCCCCGCTTTTAGCAAACGCGCTACATCTCTCAACACCGACCTGGGAAGCATCATCGCAAAAAAACAGTGCTCGCAAAACGCTCGCGAAGCATTAGTGCGAACACTTTGCAAACGTTTTGCAAACAAGGGGGTGAAAATACCGTATAGATATAGATTTGAACACTTTGCAAATGCTTCGACAACATTTGCATAAATAATTTGCGCCACCCAACATAAACGATTGGCTGTGTTGTTTCGATAGGTGCGTCGATGTTTTTGCAAACGCATTTCCACGTTCGCGCTAACCATAACAAGGTTTCTTCGAAGTAACTGTGCAGATGTTTTGATGTGTTTTTAAAGCGTACAATAGCCACGTTGCTATACCCGTTATGGTGTGACCCGTTTGTATTATTATCCGCCATATTGAGAGACCGATGTACGAAATGTTATGCAAGCTTGTTATTATAGGTAGAAAATACATAAAACATCACAAAATCCTTGGCATCCACCTGGCCACGACTGCCACCACCCCCACGTGGGACCCAAAACTACTACTCCCGAGCCAACTGCGTGGCAGCCATAGTCAGGGAGCCATCTGGGCTAGTCTCCTAACTAAACAGGGGGCGGCCAGCCACACTCCTCCATGCTGCCCCAATCCCATCCTGCTGACCCCCAGCCTGCCTACTCCTGCCGCGGTACCTGACACCAAACCCCAGCCCGGGTGTCGAGATCAAGTACTAATCCAGGAATGCGCAGTCCATATGCTCCTGGCCATGCGTGTCTCCGAGTGTCCCTGATTTGTCTTCTGCCTCACACCCTCTGCTGCTGTAGCTTACGCCCATACAAACACAACTGCTTGCAATGCGCCGGTCCTTGACCCCTGCCACACATGTCGCCGTCTGGCCCTGCTATGTCACCTGCTCGCCGCTGCTGCTGTCGCCGTTTTGCTACAATAACTCTGCTTCTGGTAGCTGTCTGCCCTGTGCCTTTTGAAACCACGATTCTTCCCCCCCGTCCCCCCCCCCATGACCCTGAATCTCCACATCCTGCCTCGCCTCCTCTTGCACCTGGTATGGTCACCGCCCTCCTTCCCGATCGCGTCCTGCTGCTGTTGCCCTGACTGTGGGGCGTGCTTCCCCACCTGCTAGGCTTGAGTAGTGCCATTGCCACCAATGATCACCGCAAGCATTACCCTACAGCCCCCCTCGTCACTGCGCCCCCAAGTCGACTGCTTGCCCATCCCTAGGCCTCCGCCTCTTCTACCTTGACCCCAGTCGCCCCCTTGCCATCCTTTTTTCCCACCGCCTTTCCCTTTTTTCTCCTTCCACTCCTCCTCGAACCCACTGTGATGGATGTACAGTCCATGCCTCCCCCACTTGAAGCCCTTCATCTCTGCGTTGTAGACCCTCGGGTGCCGGTCAAACCAGTCAATCACCACCTCACGCATGAGCTCATGAATGCTGTCCACCCAGGTCTTGTTCTTTGGGTGCGAGTTGGACAGGGCCATGGTCGGATTCTTGACCCGCGCGAGCCCGTAGTCGACCTGGCATGGGCGTGTACATAGCGCGGAGGTGGGTTAGTGCCATTGCTGGGTTAGTACATAATGGATCTGGGATGGGGGGCGGGTTAGGGTTTAGGGGGGGGACGGGGAAAAGGGGGGGGGGGGGGGGGGGGGGGAGGGGAAGGGGGGGGGGGGGGGGGGGGAAGGGGGGGGTGGAAGGAAAAGGAGTAGGAACCGTGAAAAATACTTTATGTACTTAGGGGTATAGAGGGGCGCTGGGTATGTGGGGTCTGAGAGACTCTCCCGAGGACAGGCAAAAAGGTGGATTGGGGAGGCGGTGGGAAGGTGGGAGGGTGTGGGGGGGTGGACAGAGGGGTAGGGTAGGCCAGGAGCGAGGCTGCTGAACCATCCGCGCGGGTGGGCAGGCAGCGTCGCGACTAGCGACCGTAGAGATAGGATGGTGTGGGCGCCATCTGAAGGTGCAGGGGGCCGGCCAGGGAGAAAAAGAAGGGGGAGTTGGGGAGGAGGGGGGGTGCAAGTTTTTAGGGGGTGAACAATTCATGGGAGTCGTTTAGAAGTGGCCGGACTGTGGTAGGACACTAGCGGAGATACAGAGCAAACTCGTCCTGGCAGAAATGAGGGAGATGCTAGGCACCACTGCGGAGACTCACAGGAATGAGCTTCAAGGGGTGCATGCCACGCCTCCCTAGTTGTGGGCGGTTACCCCCCACACTCTCGCCGCCCGCCTCGTCTTGGTCGCTGGAGGCCGAACCCAAACGCGGGAGGTGTTGCACCCCGGACCTCCTCAGCTACACAACCTCCATAGCCGCGTCGCGGAGAAGTGTGAACATGCGGGTGGCGGACAGGTCTGAAGACATCTCCTTCATGCGTGCAAGGGAATCCCAAGTGAGATTGCCAGCGTTACGGTCGTCTCCCATTGTCCGACGCCATTTAGCCTCAGCATCATCGGCAGACCCCGCAGCTTCGGGCGCAGCCGGGCGCAGCCCGCTTGTAGCACGTGCCACCGACTCCAAGATGAGGCCCCGCCATGCCATCCCATCCACACTCCCCGCCTGATGAGGAACAAAGCCTGCCTGGCGCGGCATGGGCTCGGTCCTCTCCTCCATGGGGGGGCATCCCCCATACTCTTGGGTCTGGCGCGCCACCCTCCCCGCCTGCCGGTGTTGTGAGGTGGCCCTTGCGACAAGTGCAATGGGTGGGAGGGGCGTGAATGGACGGATGCCGCCCAAGGTGTCGTCGCCATCTCGCAGGGTCGTTGGAGTGTTGCGGTCGTGGTCAGATCTCCTCTTCCCACTGGTAAGCTAGGGGCGCTCCATTTCTTCGTGAGGGGGGGTCTCTTTTGTCGTTTTCTCAAAGCGCAGCTCCCGCCCGGTTTTGTATGCCATCCTCGCTGCTGGTGCGCCAAAACCATCGTCCTCCGCGTTGTCCGCCTGTCTCCTGCCTCTCTTGGGCCTATCCCCATCATCCTCTGCCGCCTCCTCCTTTGGGTGACCATATGCCCCGAACACCACCTTCTTCTTGTCCTTGAGCCGAACAAGCAGCGGACCCTCCGAGGCTGAGCCACTGTAGGATGCGTCGTCCCAACATTTGTATGGAGTGGTGGTCTTCTTGGCCACCGGGGCCTTGTGCCGGCCACCCATGTCCCCTCTCCCCTGCCCCCGCGTGGGGTCACTGACAAGCTTCAACGGGCTCCCCCTCTTCTTCCTCCTGCCCCCCTCCCCCCTGCCTCTTCTCCTTTCACGATGGTCGCGTGCGCTGTGCCGGTCCTTGCGGTGGTGCCTGTGTCGGTGCCGCCCGCCGTCCGACTCACTCTCGAGCGACACTTGCTCGCTGCTTTCAGCCTTCTGGCTTGAGTAGTTGGACTCCAAAGTCGAAGTCTCCCCGGAGTTGGAGCTGTCGGAGGAGGAGGAGGAAGCGGACTCGTCGCTGGACTGGTGCCTGACCTTGCGCTTCTTCTTCTTTCGGGTCAGGATCCGTGCCGCCATGACCGCAAGACGCATCGTAGTCATCGCCTCTTGGCCGACGGCTATCACCATCACGCCGGTCCCAGCCCCCAGTGTCACCGTTCCGCCGATCTTCCTTTGGGACGTCACACGCGCAGGCCGTGGTGCGGACTTCCTCGCGACCCGGTGTCTTCATGGCTGGTGCCGTTTGCGTGGGGGGGGGGAGGTTGAGCGAGCTCCGGCTCCGCCGCCTTGCTTGGCCCACCCTCACCTCCCCCCCCTGCCAGGTTTTTGCCGTGCTGCTCCAGCTTGGTGGCTGCTGTGCCTTGGCCGTTGCACACCGCCGCTTTTGCCATCGGCGGACCCGCGACAGCGGTAATGACTGCCGCTGGTTCCGGAATCGCCCATGCCCCGGTGTCTGCCTCGGTAGCCGCCGTGATAGGACGATTGTCCGCCACCGGTGCCGCGTCAGCACCAACGACCTATTCCGTGGTGGCACCAAGAAGGCCAGGCCCCTCCATTGCAACCGCTACGCCAGAGGTGGGGTGCAGTGTGGCGGGCATGTCAGGCGTGTTGTTCTGGGTATGGGCCTCCACCTCAGCAGCCTTCTCTGCAGCCGCCGAGGACTACTTGGCCGCTTTCCGCTCAGCTCGCTCTCGCGCTGCGCATTCTTTCTTCGTCTCCGTTTTGGGCCGCTTATCTGGCGGACCAGCCTCCAGGGGATCTGCATGGGGGACAGTCAGCGCACAAGGTCAGGCGTTGGCTGTAGGGGTCTCAACGGATGCAGCAGGTTACATGGCGTGGAGTGGGCTTAGCCACGCTTAGCTCACCTGTATTTGTGACGAGATCCCCGATAGATTTTTCGCAACTCCCTTTCATTTTAGGCGGGCTTCAAAGCCCGCCAGGCACGTTGGCTGCGTATGGTTCCCCAGCAGCACCATCCGACTCCAATGTCTCCTCATCGCCTTTCCGGTCGTCGCCCACTTTCACCGACAGCTTGTGTGCTTTCCGGTACTCGCGGACCCCATCGCCAGTTTCCTCCCGGGATATTTTCCTCTTCTTTCTACTCCGCTTGGCTCATTCGGATTCATCATCCGACCCCGTCTTGTAGTCCTTAAGTGCTACGCGCTCCTTGCGATGCCAATCTCCTGTTTGGAGCTCCTGACTACCCATGGCTGGCTGGCTGGGTCACAATGGATCTTGGGCGTACTATGTGCTCTAGCGGCATGACTGGCTAGCAAGAATATCAATGTGACAACAAGAAATGAGGAAGCCTGAGCAGGTGGTCAGTTTGATGGGGGGTACGACAAGAGTTGGGGGAGGCGAAAAAGGAATAGTGACTTCGAAGACTGCTTGCCGAAAACCCCTTTCAGCACCAACTGGCACTCGCCCTGCGCCACTGAAGCACGACCGTAGGATTGCTCCATCGTATGGCAAGCATTCGTTGGGCACGATCTGCGCGCTGTCTTGTGATTGGCGTCAACCAGCCATATTTGTGTATCAAACATTTTTTATAGTGGCTTATGGGCGAGAGTATAGCATCAAAGTAAAAAAGACGTGAAGGGAGGTGTTTTGTTACGAAGGACGACGGTGCTTAGAGCAACCTTTGTGGGTGGCAACAGAGGGTGTCTATATGTACATTAATATGGGCCCAGGGTGTGGAAATCCACTTATGGTTGTGATCATGGCATGCCAGTTTCTTTGTGCAGGCCAACACTGTTCAGAGACCTGTTGGGGTTGCCGTTGAGATCTTCGGGGCAAGGTCTACAGGCCTTTCTGCACTGGGAGTTGTGGGTGCACTGAACGTCTAATAAACGCACATGATCGCAAGCTCTCACAATACGACCTTTTACCACATTTGTTGGTGGTTGGGTTTGGTCAAACAAGGCCTAACCTTTCTTGAGCGATCGGCAATGCACGCGATCCACAGACATCCCACGCACGTGGAACGGAAACAACCTACACTCCATCCGAACGCAAGTGTACATACTTCATCGTCGCCACACATTCAGTTTAGGACCGTAGACTTTGTAACAATAAGGAATCTGTTCTTAGAAACTTAGGACTCAAGGTTCTTAAACTTAGGAGGCTAGGTAGGCTAGGACACTAGGAAGAAGGCCGCCATGGAATAGCGTGAGGAAAACGGATCTAGGAAGGGAGAGAAAGTCGAGAAGAAAGGTGTTGTTTAGGAAGAGAGAAGAGTACAAGAAGGGGTTTGTACCCTCTACAGAAAGGTTCAGTAACAACCTACCAAGCCTATATTAAATTATAACTTCTATAATTTTAACATCTGTTGCGTTCCTGAAGGTGACACTCGTGCCTTAACCCTCGCCGAATCCAATCTAAGACGCGGCACACAGAGTGCAATGGTCGTTGACCTTTGACCGACAGTCAAACCGTCAGCTATCCATTGAGTGGCCCAAGGACCAGAAGTCGCCACAACATAGTTGCGAGGGGCCGGGATGTCAAGAGCATCTGGGTCACCCTCAGGGTCTAGCACCATGGAGCAGAGATGAGGTACTACCTCAGAAAGAAAAGCTAGCTCGTACTGCCTGTCCTAAAGGACGTCATTGCCACGAGGAGACAGAGAGAGACGTATGAGGATGCGACAGGAGAACAAGAGCGGGAGGCGCACGAGACGGGCGAGACTGGAGTAACATATGGTGAGAACCCAGAACAAGGGAAAAGGCGAAGAGTCGAGTCTGGCGGAGGGAACCCAGGGCCGTATACAGGGGGACGAGGCAGCGCTGGTGGAGGCGCGGGCGGTCGGTCGGGGGAGGGAAGGCCGAGGCTGCGAAGGGCGGACACGGGCAGCGACAGCTGCTGCTGCTGCTGCTCCTGCTACTTCTGCTGCTGCTCCACGCCCACACCAGAACCGCCCACCACACCACTGCTACCTCCTTGGCCACAACTGCACCCCCCGTACCAGCACCCCCAGAATGCGCACCCCAAGAACCAGAACCCTCCTCGAGGTCAGCGCCCACAGCACCCCCAAGGGAGGGCTTGGTGGCAGAGGTGGCGGGGGTGGTGGGGGTGGTGCAAGAGCTAGTGGTGCAGACGAGTTGCAGGGGCTGACGCCCTAGAGGAGCAGCAGTAGAAGCAGCAACAGCAGCGGCAGTCATGGGACCCCATTCGCAAACGTGGCCCGGCGAGTATGGTTGTGGTGGTCGCGGTGGCGGCCACAGCAGCTCGACGTTGGGTGGCAGCTCCAAGTCTGTGAGGTGCCAGTACCAGCACCAGTCTGGTCCCCTTCGTGGCACCATGTGTGGCTGTCTTGGTCACATCGCCGCCCACTACTACCGCCGCATCGACGACCTTTTCTGGCTCCACTTCGGGACCGCGTAGGAGCAGCTAGACTAGCCAAGACGTATTCGTCGTCATGTGCCGGTCTTCGAGATGGATATGGATCAGATTACGGCTCGAGTGGCACTTTTAGGGATGCAACAATTTCCTTATCGTAGCACTCCCCTTCATTGCTGAAGGTGCTCGAGCTTGGCGCACTTGGAGATTCCACAGAGCTCGATGCAATGGAGGTACTGTTGGCATGGCAACAATATGGGGAGGAAGCCAGCTGCCATATCGCAAGTGGGACAGTATGCCAGGTCCACCTTTCCCTTGTCGATTTCGTCCTTAACGAACAAGTATCGCAGGGCAATGTGCTTGGTGTGATTGACAAAGCCGTGTTTGATGGCAATCTTGATTGCACTCTGGTGGGACAGTATCGCAAGTGGGACAGTATGCCAGTATAGAGGGACTTTTGGAGCTGGCAGACTCGTGGGTCCCCGTCGCCGTAAGTGTGGGGCTGCTCTACAAAGGTCAGGGCGTCAACCTTTGCGTAGAGGAATGCATTTTTTACGTCGATCTGTCGGAGCTCGAGGTTTTGGCATGCTGTGATGGCAAGCAGGATGTGCACGGAGGTGTGACATCTGACAGGCACGAAGGTAAGATCAAAGTCGATCCCGTGGCATTGGTCATAGCCACGTATGACCCATCGAGCCTTCCGTCGCGCTCGACGTTTCCTTGCTAACAACGAGTACAGCCCTGACTTTTGGATGTCCAGGCAGGGTCCGACATTTCAGGTACGAACTACGTTCGAGATCCCAAGCCTACACGCGTCGTCGCTGCCGACACTCCCGATACCAGAGGTGCCCCAAACCACCTCGCATGTGTTTCGTGGCCTCCCTCGAGGCTGTCTTACTAGGCTAGCTGTGCTTGTATTTTGCCCTGTTCTCCAATTGTACTCGAAACACTTTAATCACGACCTCAATACTGCATTACTCTGCTCCTATCCTAAGATTAGCACAACATGCTGTAACTATATATGACAAACTGTGTATTGGGGGAGGTCAGCCCCTGAGACAAGGGTCTAAAGACTAGTCAACAGGAGTCCAGCCCCTGAGACAAGGGTCTAAAGACTAGTCAACAGGAGTACAGGCAAGGCAAGAACAAGACCAGGGCGGCACTACTAGTCCAGCCACTGGGTCTAAAGACTAGTCAACAGGAGTACAGGCAAGGCAAGAACAAGACCAGGGCGGCACTACTAGTCCAGCCACTGGGTGAGGACACAAGTCTAGTCTGAGTAAATATATATAAAGGACAGTACAAAGTCAAGGCCCTAGCAAGTGAGAGGCTACAGGAGCTAGACCAAGCTGTAAATAGTGCCGCTGATGATCTTTACGCGCAAGCGCCTTCGTAAAGAAATCAGCTGTGTTGGCACAGGAGGCCAAGTGTACTACGCGAGCCTGACGGCGCTGCTGTAACTCGCACAGGAGGAAGTACCGCAGCTGGATATGCTTCGCTCTGCCCTCGAGTCGAGGCTCCTGACACAGGAGGATCATGGCCCTGTTGTCAGCGTACAGGACCGGGGCAGAGCTAGGCCGCTCACCTAAGTCAGTGAGCAAGAAGGTCAGCCAACGGAGCTCCTGTGCCGCCATGGCACCGGCGTAGATCTCGGCCTCACAGCTGGACTGGGCAACAGACGAGGAGCGGGTAGCTCTCCACGAGACGGCACCTGAACCAAGGCTGAAGTAGTAGCCCTGGGAAGACCTCAGTGTCTCGGCGTTGTCTGCCCAAGAAGCGTCTGTGTGTCCAGTAAGGACCACTGGCCTGCGTCCTCCTAGCACTAACCCCATGCCCGATGTACTTGCGAGATAACGCAAAACCCTCTTAGCGGCAGACCAGTGCTGCGGTCGGTGTCTGCCTTTGGCCACAAAGCGAGCCAGGATGCTGAGAGGGTATGCGAGATCTGGGCGAGTGCAAGTCGTCAGGTACATGAGGCAACCCACCAGCTTTGCGTAAGGACCACTGGGCTCTACTAACACCTCAGGAACTGGAGCGGAGAGTCTGTGGTCTACAGGAAGAGGGGTGGGCTGTGCGGAGGAGAACTGAAGGCCGAACCTCTGAAGGACCTGGCGCACCAAGTGTGATTGAGTCAAAGTGATGGTGCGCGCTGCTCTGTCCCTGGAGATCTGCAAGCCAAGTTAATGGCGCAGTTCTCCAAGGTCAGTGCAAGTGTGTCTCTTCAGCAGCTCTGCCTTCACGGAGGCCAGTGCGTCCCTGTCTGTTGTGGCAAAGACCAGATGGTCCACGTAAACAAGGATCAGGAACGGAGTCTGGCCAGCACGAACAAAGAGTGAGGGGTCTGCAGAAGATGGAAAGAACTGCAGGTCAGCAAGCTTAGCACGCAGCGTGTCGTGCCACTCACGGGGAGCCTACCGCAGGCCGTAGACGGGACGCCGCAGGAGCCACTGGGTCCCAGGAGGGAAGGTGCCAGTAAAGCCCTGAGGGCGACGCAGGTAGACCTGCTCGTGAGGCTGCCCTGAAGGAAGGCTGTGGAGAAGTCGAGGGAGTGAAGCTCGTAGTCACGCTGAGCAACTACGTGTAACAGAACCCGAAGAGTAGTCATCTTCGGGGTGGGAGCGAAGGTCTAGAAGTCCACCCCCTCACGCTGACTGAAGCCTCTAGCCACATAGCGCACCTTGAAGAGCCAGCGGCCATCGACTACGTTCACCCCAGGCGGGGGAACTGCGTCGACGAAGGTGCCGGTGGATCTCCAAGATGCCATCTCCTGCTCCCTGGCAGCTATCCACTGGGAGGCCCAGGGTCCCGAGGTCGCCTCAGCGTAAGTGCGAGGCGTCGGGATGTCGAAAGCGTCTGGGTCACCCTCAGGGACTAGCAGCATGGAACAGAGATGAGGAGCAGCCTCGGACAGGAAAGCAAGCTCGAACTGGCGGTCCTCCAGGACGTCACTA